AAAAGGATACTCTCACAACTTGGCAGTGTTTGTATTTTCAGGCAGAAGAATCTAGAGGTGATTAAGAAAAGTGAAGATCTGATCAGTCCTTTTACTACCAGGCAGCTTCCAAGCAGGAACATTCAGTACAGCTCTAAGCACCTATATTTTGCACCATAATACTGCAATGCCTTTTTGCTAGTACTGTGGTTATAGCAAGATGATAAGGCTGTTGTGGAATCTTAATTGGAAAAGAATTGAAAATAACTGTACTTGAATACATAACCTAGGTGGCGAGTGTTTAGTTGCCATGGAGATTGGCAAAGACATGCAATATAGATATCCAATCTTCAGAAAAATGTGAAAGGGTACTGGTATACAGAAATACCTTCCCTGTAATCTGGAGCAGTTTCATAGACTGTCCATCATAAATTGGCATTTCAAAAAGTCAGGGCTGTGACTGATATGAGACACAGTGATTTAATCCAATTTGTGAAAAATAAGGAATCGTCACAAGCAGCAATGAACAGGAGAGCAATTCCGACACGGCAAAGGCACTGCCGACAGGGACTCCCACCCACCTTCAGGAAAATGTCTCGTTGAGATTCAGCTCCCAACAGCACTCAGGTGAAAGCTATGCTTTTGTAATGAAACTTAAAGCCTCTTTAGACAGCTTGTGAGTTTCTGTTTGCCTGGATGAGTTTGACACTCAAGCCCAAGAGAGGAAAACAGACCTTTTTTCAGGCAGAACCCCATCATAAAAGTCACAAAGGCAGGCTTGATTTGGGCCTACTGTCCCAGGAGGGTGTCAACGGCAGCTGGCCCAACCGATCACAGCAAAAAGCCCTCTGGGGGCGAAGGTACCTCAGAGGATGAGTCCCAATGTGGAAGAACAACTTTACAGTACAACTGGACAAGTTATTAGGCCTTTTCACCCAGAGACCCTGGCTGTTTCAAAACTGGTACTCAAAGTAAATGGGGCAGAACAAGGTACCTGATTCATCCATCAGGGTATGTTTTACTGTGGGATCAGTAGAAGTGCTGGAAGAGACACAGTTTTATGCATCTACTTTCTGAAAATTAGCATAAAACATTCACCTGGAAAGGCATGCAAAGAGATGTGGGTTATGTTAGAAGCTGGGATCTGGTGAGAGAGGTCTAAAGTATCGCTTTCCAGGTAAGGAAGTTGGATCCTGGGCCGTCAAGGCACAGCACAGCCCACAGACTCTGGTTTATTTCCAGCAGAGCTCTGTACTCTTCACATTAAAAAGAAACTGTAGTTATGCTGCTCATTGCTCCAATGCAAAGCACAACAGACCTCTTTATGTGAATTTCTAAGGAACAGCAGCTAAGTATATCTTATGGCATTTACCTCACATCTTACACTCTGGTTTAAGAGTCAAACTGAAGTATGTAAGTGTGAAGTTTGGCCAGCCTTACTTTACAGTTTCTGGAATTGCTTCACAATTAGTAGGCATAGCTTTTGCTACCAAGAACTTGCCATCTAATTTCAAGCAAAATGAGAGAGACTGAGTCCATGGAGCTGAAATGTCTCTAAATGGTTGGGGTGGGGTGGGTTCTCTCTAACTAAATAATAACAGACATTATTAGGAACAACATGAATAGAGGAATAGACAATCTGATTCATTACTGGTTCGCTCGTTTTATACCGGTATAAAACTGGACTGATACAGCTGTGGGCTAGGGCCCCAGAGTAAATTACACCTGAAAAATATCATTGTGGTTTGTGTGTTGTGCCGTAAAGGACAAGACTGGATTAGAGGTAGACCTCTGCTGCAGGTTTATGATCTGGATTTAGAGCTGAACAACTGCGACGCCTCAGATGTTCAGATCTGTGGTTTCAATCTGGGCTCTATAAGCTGTGGTGTTGATAGCTCTTTAGGCTGTAACAAGTCAGAGCTGTGAGACCATGACTTAAATCTTACTGAGATTAGTATTAACTAAACCTGTCTCTTGTTGGATGGCCCTTCAGCTGCCAAAGTAAAATTGTTTTTTGGCCGACATCACAGGCAGTAAACCAGGGTCATCATTCCTCCTTTGAACATTACATAGTTCAAAGAGCTGCCAGTGAAACATGGTAAAAAATAGTTGAAATAAAATTAGCATTTAATTATTCAATGGAATTACCCAAATTAACACTGAACCTAATCAGCAAGTGTAGAAAACACTCCATTTCATTTCTCTTTCCTTAAGATTGTCCCCTTAGAGGTACCAGCTGTCTTTAAACATGTGAAAATGACCACTAGAAAAACTATTATATATATTCTGTGTCTTACTTAAAATATTTTCTGGCGCATCTTTCCACCGTGTCCAGGGGGAAGGCTACAATAGCTTTTGTTAAAGGAAGCATGAAAAAAAAGATACCCACCCACATCCCTTTCCCTCTCCCCTAGGCAGGCAAGTGTAGTAGATACACCTCAGCCCCTTTTTAAAAGGTGTAATAAACTGCCCCTCCTGGGCTGCTGGAGTAACTGGATCTCAAGTCTCCAGGCTTCAGATGCAACACGTGGGGCTTCAAACGTAATGTGGGGCTTCAAATGCAACACTTGTTCGATGTGGCCTTACAGCCTGGCTGCTGCTAGCTACGGTGGTGTTGGCAGGTCCGATCAGACACGCTGACCTCCACCTTCCTTCCTCCCAGGAGTTTCCTTTCAACGTTCGTCGGGGCACTTGTTATACTAAAAAAGCTGAAAGCCCCAACTCCTGACTCCTTTATCAGCCCGTAAGCCTGGCGACCCCACACCCTGGCAGAGGCCCACCATGGGGTGACCGCCGGGGCCTTAGAGCGAGTCGTGGCGGCGGAAAGCAGAAGGGCGGCCGGTCGCTCCCCTCTGCCCCGACCCCTCCTCACGCAGCT